TCTTTCCTATGAGGAGAGGCTGAGGGACTTGGGTCTCTTTAGTCTAGAGAAAAGAAGATTGAGGGAGGATCTTATGCTTACAAATACTTAAAGGGACGGTGCGAGGTGGATGGGAGCAGTCTTTTTTTTCAGTGGTGCCCAGTGATAGGACAAGAGGTAATGGGCACAAACTTGAACATAGGAAGTTCCGTCTTAACATGAGGAGGAACTTCTTTACTTTGAGGGTAGTGGAGCACTGGCACAGGCTGCCCAGAGAGGGGGTGGAGTCTCCCACTCTGGAGACATTCAAAACCTGCTTGGACGCCGTCCTGTGCAACCTGTTGTAGGTGACCCTGCTCTGGCGGGCGGGTTGGACTAGATGATCTCCAGAGGTCCCTTCCAACCCTGACCATTCTGTGATTCTGTGAAAACTAACCTTGGAGAGAGAAAAAACTTCAGTGGTGGTGAGCAGCCTGTGAAGTAAACTATCCCATCTATTGATACAGCTTCAGAAACATATTTCAGCTTTCTCTGAAAAGACAATTTTTAATTCCCAGCTGAACTGAAGAGTCCTTTACAGTGCTGTGATACAAGATAATATGCCCTGCAGAATATTTCATTTCATTCATGTATGATACTGGAGCTGTCTTGCACTGATAGCCATCGTTCAGTAGCAACACAGAAACAAATCCATGTGGTTTTCCCGGAGTACACAAGTGTCATGGCAGATTGTTGAAGTTTAATTTCTACCATCTGCTATGCATAAGGGTTTTAATATCTGGAAACTTGTTCTAGGTCATCAGGTAGGACCACGAAGATGATTAAGGGAATGGAGGATCCTACATACAAGAATAGACTGAGAGAGCTGGGACAGTTCAGCCTGGAGAAGAGAGGGTTCATGGGGTATCTTAAGAAGTTTTTTAGTTCTTGATGGGAGGGAATGAAGAAGAGGGAGCCAGATGCTTCTCAGTAGTGCCTGCTGACAGGACAAGAGGCAATGGGCACACATTAAAAAACATGATATTCTGTTTGAACATAGGAGAAAAGTTTGTTTGTTTGTTTTCTGTAGAACACTGGTCAAACACTGGCACAGATTTCCCAGAGAGGCTGTGGAGTCTCCATCTGTGGAGATACTCAAAACCTGGCTGGACAACTTGCCCTATTGCTCTGAGCAGCCTGCTGTAGGTCACCTTGCTTGGGTAGAGGGGGTGGACTAGATTATCTTGAGAGGTGCCATCCATCCTCAATTATGTGGTTTTATGAGATGCCAAAAGTTGTGTGGTGACATATTTTTTCAACAGGACTCTTTAAATAGAGTATAAACTTGGGCCTCAAGTACCCTCGGACTGAAGTAGTTCTTGTTGCATTTCAAAGTTACAGCATCCCATGGGAATAATCTCATTTTTGCAGTTTCTCCAAACCTGTAGCTTTCCCCATAGGGAGCAAGAATTGCTGTCTCTCACATGCTAGAGTAATCAACATACTGTTTTACGTAACCTGTTTTTGTATTTAAGACAGGTAGTGCTATCTACTAGTCAGGTTCCCTGATACATCACAGTGTAAAATCTGCTCTTGAGTTGCTTAAAACATTTTTGTTTCGGCTGATATTTTTCATCTTTTGTGTATGCTCTACCTTTCTTTTGGTTTGTTCTTTTTTTCCCCCCAATTTTGGTCTAGTGAATACGATGATTGGAGCAATTCAGCTTTTTTCCTGAAGCTAATTTGCCCTTGTCTTTAGTACTTCAAGCAGGTTGTCAGGAAAATTGGCTAAGCTTGTATGCACGTATGTTTTCCATGGATTGTGTCTGGTACTTAGAACTACTCTTCCTATCGTTGAACATCTGCTGTGGGCTTTGCTGGTTCAGTGGCCTTAAGTGAGTCATAAAAATCTCTTCAGTGTTGTCAGTTATGCTTTTGCTGGCCCAAATAGCTGGAGCTGCCTGCCTGAATGAAGGAGCAAGAATCAGTTGTGTGAGGACTGCAGGAGTGTAAACTGGGACAAGGATCCCTTTGGCTTTAAGGTCTCCTGGTAATGAGATGACAAACCTTCGAAGGGAAGGGATTCTTACTGCTGTAGATGATTATTCAGCAAGAAGAAAAAGACAGTAAGTGCTGCTCCTGTCTCTTTTAGCCTTCACCTTGGTCTGCAAGGGTGCATGTGGGTTGTGAAAACTAATGTTACATGGCTGAAGCCAAGAGCAAAGGGGAATGTCCAAAATCAGGAACTGTAGCAGTCCCTTATTTCTGTCCTCCCAAAGGAAAGAGAGGGTGCTTGCTGACGGGAAAGTCAACTAATTTGAGGCATCTGGCTATGGCTGCCTGAGAAAGGGTACCTGCATGTGTTTAGGAGTGGGAAAGCAATAGCTCCAGTGGTTTCAGATCCATTTTATGGCTAGCATTTGAGAAAAATTGTACCATCATGGGGTTCAGTGGATCACTCTGTTTGTTTGGGTTTTTTTTTGGCCACCATAGCATCAGCTTTCTTGGTGCTAGCACAAGCAAGTGTGAAGCACTTAATCTCCTCTATAGGGTCAGGGGAGACGCTACAGAGCTTTGGGACTTTGATTCTGTGCCCCACTGCTGAAACCCGCCCAAGAGGGTGAAAAAGTTTCTACCTAATCGTCAGACAGGTTGTCTATTTTACACAAGTCTCCTATGGAAACAAGCTTCAGTGACTGGATGGTGTTGGCTTTTCTACCCCAGTTTGTTTTGAACCCATCAGTCCATTTGAACCAGATTTGGCAGGGGAGCAAGGTCCTTAAAAACAAGTTGTGATTTTCATGAAAATCAGTGTCTGGTTTTGGAATGGGAGCCCAAACTAGCATCCCATTGAGGGAAGAGCTACACTTTGAAGTTCGTAGACAAGCTTGTGGGCTAGTCTGCACGTGCATAAATGGCTGAGCAGGATACGTGTAGCAGAACCAGCCCCAACAACTGCTGCTTCTTGCCTAGGTTTTATGTGAAGGACCTGTGTATGTTTGGGAAGAGCTGGAGGCAGGGAAGTAGGACACATTCAGAGAAACAGGCTTTTTTATTTTGGCTTTTTGAGAAATATCTTGTGGGAACTGTAGTCTCTCTGTCCCAGTAGATGTCTGAGGCAGACAGCTAGATGATATCTAGTTATCAAAACACAAATGTCTTTCCTTATTCTCTCCCAGTAAGGACTCTTCTTGCTGCCTCAGCTTGTACTGTGGCTGTAGAAGAGTTTTAGGTGTAGAATCATAGAATGGTTTAGGTTGGAAGGGACCTTAAAGATCACCTAGTTCCAACCTCCCTGCGATGCACAGGGACACCTTCCACTAGACCAGGTTGCTCAAAGCTTCATCCAGCCTGCCCTTGAACACCTCCAGGGATGGGGCGTCCACAACTTCCCTGGGCAACCTGTTCCAGTGCCTCACCACCCTCACAGTAAAGAATTTCTTCCTAATATCTAATCTAAATCTACCCTCTTCCAGTTTAAAACCCTTACCTGTCATCCTATCACTACATGCACTTGTAAAAAGTCCCTCCCCATCTTTCCTGTAGGCCCCCTTCAGATACTGGAAAGCTGCTATAAGGTCTTCCTGGAGCGTTTTCTTCTCCAGGCTGAACAACCCCAACTCTGTCAGCCTGTCTTTATCGGAGAGGTGCTCCAGCCCTCTGGTCATCTTTGTGGCCGTCTGCTGGACCTGCTCCAACAGGTCCATGTCCTTCTTATGTTGGGGGCTCCAGAGCTGAACGCAATATTCCAGGTGGGGTCTTACAAGAGCGGAGTAGAGGGGCAGAACCACCTCCCTCATTTCCATTTTATTCCTTCCTTTTAGCATGTTGTAGATTGAGAAAGATACTTTGATATGGAATCCTCAACACCTAGATTTTCTTTCCAGTCGCAGATCGCAGAGCTAGCCAGAAAAACCATCAGCTTTCAACAGTGGTCTCAAAATTCACATGACGTATTTCAGTTTTCAAGAAACCCGTTTCTCTTGTACTGAGTAGCTATGTGCTTCTTGCTAACTGTTTGAAAAGGTTACTGAATTATTTTTTTACTCTTTTAACGTATCATGCAAACGTGAACTTCCAATGCAGACAGGAAAGTTTGAAAAGGTTATTGAATTCTTTTTTTACTCTTTCAATGTATCATGCCAACGTGAACTTCCAATGCAGACAGGAAAACTATAACCTGGGGATTTTATAGCACCTTTTTTCAATAAACAAAAAAACCTAAGAACCCCCTGTCCTGGAGGACCTTTTCTGTATCTATCATAGAATATACTGTTTGTACCTGCTTAGCAGATGCACACGCGTAGCTGTGTATGTTTGTACTCAGAAGAGTATCAAAGCACTATATATAATGCACGTCAGTTGCGATATAGGTTGCAATACACATCTCGTGGGAAGGTGTGGAAGGGGGAAGTTGAAATGGCTCTGTTGCTGACGATTAAACCAAACCAAACCAAACTCAACTGCTGATTCCCCGGCCAGCCAGCTCGCTGGGACATTTTTATAATTCTTGCGCTGTGCTGTTGGAGATCTCCAATTAGCCTCAAACTGGAGCTCGCCGCTTGTGTGTGAAGCAGGCAGCTGCTGGCACGCAATCTTCCCTGAAGTTGTTTCCTTTCCTTTTTCCTGAGATTTAGCGAAGGGGGGGGGAAGGGGTTGGAGTCACATGGATACAAAGCTTTTGATTAATGTCCAAGTCTGTGCTGCTGCTGCTGCGGAGGCTTTCCAACCTCTCAGCTAACAGGGCGAGCTGGGAACCAGTGACCGCTCGTTTCCTCCAGGCTGTGTCCCCTTCCTGACGGGAAAGGAGCACTCGCTGGGCTGGCTCCTCCGCCTCCGGACCTCGGGCCGCTGCTGGAGCTGGGTGAGAAGGGGCTGAAGCTGCTGCCCGGCCGGGGACCAGCCGGAGCCCGGCCCCGCTATGTAACTTAGCGGGGTCTTTTGTTGTCCTTGTCCGCAGCGCAGTGCCGGGGCGCTCAGGAGAGGCTGCCTGCAGCCGGGAAAGGCGCCGGGCTGGGAGCACCGCTCCTCCTCGCTGCACCATGACAGAGGAAAGCAAAGGGGAAGGCAAGGGGGAAAGCGGGAAGGATTTGGAGAAGCAGCTTCGCCTGCGCGTCTGCGTCCTCAACGAGCTGCTCAAGACGGAGCGGGACTACGTGGGCACGCTGGAGTTCCTGGTGTCGGTGAGCGGAGGGGCGCGGAGCGGGGCCGGGGCGGGGGGG